GCCTTGATGCACACCACCCTCGCGCGCGAGGCCACCCCAACCCGCTTTCCTACCGCACGCGCCGCCGAGTGCGTCCCGTGCCCGTGGTCGTCCTCGCCATCCCCAAACTTGCTTCCGGGCGCAGCCCTTGTCGTCGCCCTCCCGGAGAGCTCCGCGTGCGTCGTCGCACACCCCGTGTCGATCACGTACACCGTCACGCCCTCCCCTTGCCTTGGCGCGCACCGCCTCGACAGCATCTGGTCGTCCAGCGCGACGCGCTCCACGCCGTGGCTCGTGTTGGCATACCCCACCGAAGCGTCACGCGAAAACCGCATCGTCCCTACGCGCTCGAAGTCGTCGTTCGCGTCATGCATCTTGTTGGAAGGCGGCGAGGTGTCCGAGGCTAGCCTCAGCGATGTGTCGCGCGCCACGTCCGTGAAACGCCGGCTTAGAGAGAGATTCATCACCGCCGCGTCCGGGCACGACGCCTTGAACATCTGTAGCAGCTGCAGCTCGAGGATAGCCTGGCACCCGGCGTGGCGCAACGCGCGACGTGCAAGATGGCGGCAGAGGGGAGGCGTGCAGGCGCGCGGGAGGGTGAAGACGTGCGTATGCAAAGGCTGTGATAGCATAAGGGAGGGGTGCAGCAGTAGCAGGTGCAGCAGCAGCAGCACCGCACCGGAGAAGCACATCGGAGGGGACACGGGTATTGCGCGTGAACTGTAGACGGCGTAGACGGGAGGTGGCGTGCAGGTCGGGAGGGTGCCGAAAAGAAAAGAAGCAGGGGGGAGATTAGTTGGGTAAGCAGGCCATCGTGTAGGGTCTGTATTTAACAGAGGGGACCGGACAGGGGGTGCGGGGGGGGCGGGGAAAACATAGTTTGGTTTTACCAGGATGACAGGTGTTGAATGCGATAGACGGATGGGGTGGGGGTCGGAGTGCAAAACGCAGGCACCTGAGGCGCATCTCTTGGGCGAATTGCTGGCATCCGGCAAGGTACGCAGGGATGCTGAAACATAGAAGGCAGTGCGGGTAGCTGCTTCGCTAGTGGCCGAAGGGGCAATTGCATCGTGATCTGCGGGGAAATGCAGAAGCAGCAGAAAGGCGATTTGAAGGGAGCGGCGAGCGCCGACGTGGGAGCGGGGACGTGGGAGCGATCGGGGTCAGTCTTGGGGCATGCGGTGTGCGGGAATTACGGAAAATGTGAAGATGCGGGTGTCCCGTTGCAGCAGTAGGATTGTGCGAGCTAAGCATTTTCTGACGGCGGACAGCAGCGTCGGCAAATGGACACGACCAATGCAAGGGGGAAAGCGGCTGTTGGGGGGACAAAGATCTTCCATTTTGCAGGTAGCAATGCAACCGTGCGGCGGTGCAGCTGCTCAACCGTTGGTGACGACTTCCGAGAGCAGGGACACTCAAAAGGCAAGTGCCGTGGGAGGCAGAGTGCAGCGGTGGGCTCCATCTGCTCTTTTTTCCGACTGGTGACGAATGCAGAACGTACTGTAGTCCGCTGCTCAGGACCATCGGACACGTATCAATGCTGTACGTCGTGTACACCTGGACACGTTGTCCATGGCGAAAAGGTCGGTCCGTTCAGCATGGGACATCTGTCTTCTAGCTGTAAGACAAGTTCTCGAATTCTAGCCGTTTGAAATTTCAAACGTTCGGTCGCGCCTTTTTCCATACCCACTCAAACACCATCCCCCCACACCATCCCCCCATGCACACTTGCGCTTTCACGTCATCCTTGGTGAGCCAACAACACCTTTGCATCGCTCCTTTCACTGAGCCCATCTTCCCCGAATCATATTAGCTGCTTAGTTTATGTGTCTACTTACCACCCTACCCCTCCTTCGATCCCCCGCCCGCCCCTTGCGCCGAGTCGACACCCTCGCATTCCACTTTCCGCCACGCCATGAGACGCAACACGATGGCCCCCGTGCGCCGCACGACCCTCGGCCCTGTCTCCCATAGCGGCCTCAACGTACGTTCCTCCCTGGGCGGCGCTATGCGGCCCCCCAAATCCCGCGGCCATAACAAGCACCCCGACGACGACAACCGCTATGGCCGCCGCGCCACCTCCACCGCCGTCATGGGCTCCAAATCCGACCTGCGCCGCGGCTCGCGTCCCTCCATGACCTATGCCAATTCCCGTGGAAGGCCTTCCGACCCACGCCCGATTCATGATAAGCACTATATGCAACTTTGCGTCAAGAACCTCATCTCCTACGTCATCGACCACGGCTACGAGCAGCCCATCTCCCCAAAGATTCTCACCAACCCCAGCTCCCGCGACTTTCAGCACATCTTTCTCTTCCTCGTCCGCAACATCGACCCCAACTTTTCGTTTCAGAAGCGCTTCGAGGACGAAGTCCCCGCCATCTTGAAAGCTCTGGGCTACCCGTTCACAATCTCCAAGAGCGCCCTGAGCGCTGTCGGCTCCCCCCATACGTGGCCTAGTTTGCTCGGTGTTCTCACCTGGCTAATGGGATTGCTCAAGTATGGCGACGCCATGCGCGCCCGCGACGAAACGGACCAGGGGCTCGACCCCAACGAGCGCCGCCAACAGATCTTTTATGACAACATGGTCGCAGCCTACTCTCAGTTTCTGCAGGGTGCCGACGAATTTCCTGACCTGGACAAGGCCCTGTGTCAGCACTTTGAGGCGGAGAGCTCAAAACGCGAGGCCGAGATTGCAAAGATACAAGCCGACCGCGATGAGCTTGCTGTCACACTACATACACTCCAGACCCAACCGTCGCCTCTCGCTCTTATTGTCGAGCATCGCACGTCCCTGGAGACCAACATTCACAAGTTTCAGCTCCTCATACCTTCCTTGATTGAGCACAACAATAACGTGCAAAAGAAAATCAAGGACAAGGAAGCCGACATTGACAGCGATGAGAAAGAGCTCGCCATTCTACTGGACGAGAAGGCGAGGTTGCAGGAGGCCTTGGCGAGACAAGAGGAAAAGGGCATCGATTCAGAACGGATGGTGGCCGACAAGGATCGTTTGCGGGACGGGTTGCGGAAGCTACGAGACCAGCGCTCGCAATGCGAACGGGAACAGCGGGAATCTGAACAGCTTCTGGCAGAGGCCTACTCCGTCCTGGACGATGCCGTTCGGCGATACCACAATCTCGCAGCTTCTCTCGAATCTGTTTCCCCCAATCCACGCATAGACCCCACTTCGATCGATTGGGAGCTTACGATTTCGCGAGACGCGGCCATTACGGAAGCTGACAAGCTTCTGTCCAAGAACGTGGAAGCGGACATCCTCCCAGTTTTACGAGAGTTGAAGGAACAGACGGCCAACGCGATTCCGTCTTTGCAAGAGGAGAACCTCAAATATCAGGACCGAATCGATGAGGTAGAGGAAAAACTTATTGTGTTGAGAAACGAACTCTCTCTCTTAGAATCGAGAAAGGGTAATTTGGAAAATGAATACCGGAACAATCGCGCAGCACTCAGCCAGCAGCTTCAGGCCCGGTCTGAAGCGATTTTACATCGAGAGCAGCACATGTCTCGCACGTTGAACGAAAGCCGTGAGAGACTTCTGATAGCCGAACGGGAGCTCAAAACATGTACAGATAGTCTCAATGCCTATCGGGCAGACTTTGGTCAAAAGCGGAGAGTCCTTGCCAAGATTGCCGAGCGGGGAATGGAAAAAAGTCTCAGATACACTGATTCGGTCATTAAGAGTGCATCCACTGTAGAAAGACATTTCAAGGACGAGAGGGAGACATGAAGACTACTGTTCTGTTACAAAGAAGTGGCCAGTCGTTAGTATAATTCAGGCAGAAGCATAGGTTTCGTTCCATTCGTCGGGCGACTCATGTTTTACTTCTAGAGAAAAGTGTACAGTGCAAGCGCGATATGAGATAATGAAGACGCCTTTGCAAACTCAGTTATATCATCGGGAACCTCCGGCAGGTAAAATGTACTACACTAAGCGATTTAGTATCGCTGTGAAGATGTTCACTTTTTAGTCATCCATGCCTTGGGCGTGGCATTCCCCACTGAAAGTTGCCCTTTTGCCTTGGAACGTCTAACTTTGCACATGCACGGTTCCACTATGCACATGCGGTACAAGAAAAATCTTCTCTGACTGCTGACCACCTGAGACAACTGAGAGATGCCTTCTAGGTTTGAGATGATCACTTCTCAACCTTACCTATCATACCTGCACGGCCACCCCAAGTTACTCGACAGTTTGTAATTAACACGTAGGAGATGATAACACGTAGGAGATGAATACAAAAACTGTAGGACATAACTGATTGGAAAAACTAACAGTAAAATTATTACCTCGACTCCCTCAGCTTCATTCTAGTCGATGGGCGAGAATGTTTCTTCTGAATAGCGCTAACAACGCGTCCCGGAGAAGGAGCGCGCAAGCTCCTTCTGGCGGGTCCTTCAAACTGCTTCTTGGGACGCATGAATTGTAGCACCGTCGTTATGGCGAGCCCGCATCCTTCCCCGTGACTCGTTCGCCATTCCTCTATCCTCTTCGCTTCCAAAAACTGACTCCAGCCCAAGCCTGGATACCCCTCCAGCTTTCCCTCAAAGCTCAAATTTTCTAGGAACCCGTGCGAAGTATTGGACCACTGCCTTCCAGAATCGCAACGACAGTTACGCTCTGTCGCCCGACACTTCACGCGAACCGACTCATGGCGCGCATCCGCGCCGATCGGCTTTCCATCGCGATACCATATGTGCACGAACAGCGAAACCTCCGGCCCAGTCCCTTTTCTCACATGCAAGTAACAAACGTAGGGGCCGCACAGGACATGCTCCGTTTGGAAACTCCACGTGTTTTCCTTGAGCAGTTTTTGCAGCGGAATGTTCCATGGAATGCGCACCTCGAGCGCCTGCGTTTGCGGCGCATCAAAGGAAGCCAATGCAGCCATGCGAATCGCACGGGCAGACCAATTCTTGCTGGGACCATCAGAGGCAAACGTCTCCGACAGCTCTATCTCGTCCCAGTTGAGCTGCGACAACAGACCCTGCAGCTCCTCATCCATGGAGCCCTTCTTGGGTTCATAGTAGCGCAAAACAACGTCGAGTAGATACTGGTCGTAGGACTCTTCGGAATATAAGCCGATGCAATGGATAACATGCGAAAGCATGTTCTGTGATACAATAACATCCCACAACGGTGGGACGGAGAGTGAGACCGGTGCTGTCGACTCTGTCAGCGATATCGCCTTCAGCCGAGGGTACAACACGTCAAAGTGATGCCCGACGGCAATGCAAAAGTAGCGCCGGAAGGCCTCGGGCGTTTCCGCGTGGCTGACAAGCGGTATGAAAGTGCGGATCCCCAGGCCATCGGCCAGGAGGTTTTGATCCATCACGTAAGCAAAAGTGGCGTTATACAGATCTGTCAGTTGCCAGCGGTGTGCGGCGACAGCGAGCTGGACAACTTCCTGAAAGGTGAGATAGTTGAATTGGACTTCCTCGCAATACAGAAACTTGACAATGATGTTAAACACGCGCGGGGTGTCATCGTCCGATAAAAGCACGGGGGATTTACGGGGCGGGGAATCCGGGGTGCGGACGAGACTGGGCTCGTCGTCGAGCATGGGGTCCGCTTCTTTCTCATTGGCCTCCTTCTCTGAAGACACATCCTTCTCGACTGGCTTGCCCTTACCGTCTTCCTTTTTCGAGGAATCGCTCTTGTCATTCTCCTTGTCCTTTTCCCGTCCCGGGGTTCCCATGACGACATCCTCCTCTTTCTTCTCGCGCAACAGGGCGGCCATAGGTCCGCCGGCGAGCGCGAGACGCGAATAATGGACGGCAACGGGCTCGATATCCTCTTGAGGAAAGCGGAAGCTCATGAGATGGTCGACTACACGGCGACGGGAGAGCTGCGCGCAGAAGGACATGAAGTACTCGCGCTGGGGAGCAAAGGAATGTTCATGCAAGATCCAGTTGCCGACTAGTGTCGAGGGAGGCATGGGGGGAAGGGAGATCTTGGTGGGAGAGGGCAGCAACTTTTGAGGGGAACTAGATATCATCATGACTTCGGTTTTGATGATGGGTTTCTCATCAGCGGGAGGTTTATCGCCCTCGCTCGAGCGCCGGGAGGCGACGGGAGTCGTAGACTTGTCCATCGCGGGCGAAGGGGGTGGATTGGGGTCGGGGATGGCGGCAGATCGGGATAGCGGAAGGTCGCCGGATGCTTGTGAGGATGGGTTCTGGTAAACGTTCGGACAAGGTAGCAAACAAGCTGGGTGGGGCGGGCGGGGTAAACGGGATATCTATAAACGGCCCATTACAGCCAACGCTGGTGTGCATGCATCGCTGAGCTCTTCCCGGACACTACACGTGGACCGGATTTACAGCTTCAGCTCAGACCGTCAATGAAATGCTCTGTATCCCTGTGCTCCGAAGTACTGTACACCCGTTAACTGTAACTAACCGTCAATGAAATGCTCTGTATCCCTGTGCTCCGAAGTACTGTACACCCGTTAACTGTAACTAATGTTACCAAAATATTAATGTTACTTCCAAATAATGTTTGTAACATTATCAATGCAAGTCATCATTCTCCTCGCAAATTATTTAATGTTACCAACTATATTTCTGTGATATCTGTTATTAATGACATTAATAATGTAACATTACATTTCACCGGCGGCCTCCGTCGCTGATATCACAGCTCCATTGGCGGCAACACGTCTAGTTCGTACAACACCACCCCCATTGCCTTCGTCCATTCCAACCTTGATCATCAACATGCCCATTTCAGGCTCCCCCATCGTTAACTTTCTATCCAATGCTACCGCAACTCGTTTGACACGTCCGCAGACTACAAACACACCGATTCCGCCGCCGTTATATCAACACCACGCCGTCCAAACACAAGAACCCAACATTCAGTCTTCTTCAGGAGCCATTACGGACGACGACCTAACGCGACCTGCTCACCAGCACACAAAGCACAATGTCCTTTCTCTTCATCAGAGAGCTACGATCTCGCGTTGGATGATTGCAGAAAGGGAACGCTGCGGAAACGATAAACGCATGCAGACCAACGCCATCAGGAAGTTCCCCCAGTTCTTCCGATCTGGACACTCGGCGAACTACATGCGCGCAAAAAGGTTGTGGGAGGAGCACGTGGATTTCGTAGCGGATCTGGCTCCCTGCAGAGATCGAAACAGTGCTACCGCACTTTCCGTTTCTGCAGTAACGAAGCAAGGGCAGCGACGGCTTTTTACAAAAGCTAGAGCCGGACGAGGACGAAAGCGTTCTGTATGGGTCCAGGCGCTGGAACATGACCTATTCGACGACTTTGCGCAGCTTCGAAAGCTCGGTATCAAGTTTTCAGCCAACACTCTCAGCCTGCTTGCCAAGGACCTCATTGCACATTCTGAAAAGGAGGAATATCACAACGAGATGCGAAGTGGGCGAAAAGACAAGTTGATCAAGGATCTCATCACACCCTCTTAGACTCAGAGGTTCATGAATCGTGATAGTATTGTAACACGCCGGCAGACAGGGAAACTCCAGATCTCACCTGAGGGGCAGGAAAATATTGATGGAAGGGTTGCATATTTTCCTGGCACCATTACGAAAGAGTTTCAATCCGGGCAACTGGATGAGTGCAATGTGGAGAATGCTGATGAGACGCATTTTCTTTTCAATATGGATAATGGTCGTACTTTAGGCTTCCGTGGTGACGAGCATGTCAAATATGCCGACGTAACGTCCGGAGGGGAGGGTATGACGTTGATGGTACGAATTTCTGGCGGCCCCGACGCGCTGATTGAGATGCCTTTTCTCATGTTTAAGAACAGGGACAGCAACTATCCGATCAGGGGATTACCAGATGATGTGCCGGGAGTCAGCTATCGGACTGGCCCTAAGGGATGGATCGATAAGCGAGTTATGAACTTGTGGTTGCGCAAGAGACGCGCCATTGGCCCGCTTGCTAACGGCCGCCAGAGGGTTCTGTTTATGGACAACTGTGGAGGTCATGCCATAACGACACAGCTTGAAAAGGCGCTCCAAAAAATCAACACGACGATAAGATTCTTCCCAGCGAACGCAACCGATTTGTTGCAGTCGGCCGATTCGTTTTTTATTCAAAAGTTGGAAGCGGTTTGGAGCAACCTATGGGAGGAGCACAAAGCAGCTCTATTTCGGAACCTAGACAATGAAAGAACGTACGGCAGCTCGTCGGGGCTCCTCCGAAATCCGGGTAAACGGTTCTTTCTTCAGCTGGCGGCCAAAGTCGTGAGGGAAGTTACCCGTCAGCGCGATGACGAAGGCCTCACATATGCGAGAAAGGCAATGATACGATGTGGACTGGCCAAACAAAGCAACGGCCTTTGGGAGATTCGTCAATTGTTTCCGCACTTGCAAAATATCTTCAGCAAGTATCGCGAGAATTTCGATGGACAAGATCCAGATTCTTTTGTAGAAATTAGGGAGAGCGTCTCTGCATGATGTAATGTGTCATGAAATGACTTAGCTAATTTTGTGAGCAAAAAATATAAACTTGTGACACGAACCACCAGTCCGTTCCTGCTTGCAGCATTCCCGGTGTTGACATTCGGACGATACAGAATGCGCTGGATCGAGTGACGTTAGGACTTAAACTCTCATCAGGCATTGACCATGCTGGATATTCCACACTTCCAGGGTGCGGAGCATATACCCTCTAATTGTAATCAATGTGATTCCTCGAATAAAAGTCCAACTCCGTATGCCAACACCTTGTCCGGACTGACTCGCTGAAATGCGATTTTAGTTCACGCTCCTGTGCCACAGTGGGAATCGAACCCACGTATTCGACCATGATGTGTACAGTAGCCCTTAACCACTAGGCCACAGTGTTCATGATCGCTGCTTGACTTCATTATCGAAAATAATGTTACTTACATTAATTGTTTCTGAAAGCGATTTTTGGGCTGGATGAACATAAAATTATGTTACCTTTTAATATTGTTAGTAACATTACAATGAATTCGAAGAACGCGAAAATCTGTATCTAATTTAATGTAGGTGACATTAGTTACACTTAACGGGTGTAGATGATTTTCCTTCTACTTTCAGAAATAGAAAAAAATATTGAAGTAGAATCTACCATCTATTTTCGATGAAAAGTGAATATTTGAGGAGAATGTTCTCATATTTCTCCAGGAGAAATTCCCTCCACAAGTAGAAGACGTCACTTCCATCCAGAGAACGTTCTCTAATTTACTCCAGTTCTCCCCAGTTCTCCGCCATCTCTCAGATCGCCTTCTACTTATGTCCTCCGCTGATCGGTTCCCGCTGTCAGTAACGGCCGATGACAGTATTGGCGCTGCCTCGCCAAGTTTTCATCGTCATAGGATTTTCCCAGAAGAATCCTATGACGATGACAACTGTCAACAAGAGCCTGATCTACGCATCCCTGCAAGTTGTGAGCCTGCACGCCATCCCACGAATGCCCCTCAATTCGTACCTCGCACTCGATGTCTGGAGGCTGAGGCGCGGCTTCAGCACGCATCGCCGTCATCACGTCCCCCGCCGTCAATTGAAGATGACCTTCCCATAACCCCCGAGGACAGTGAAAGCCATGTCTGTGATGACCTCTCCATGCAGTACGCATATGAAAACCCTGTCAATGACGATTCTTTATCATCTGATGATCGCCCATTCTCGCAGGAGATCGATTCTCAGCGGACGGCGTCCGTCTCTGGCGATGAATCCGTCGATAATGCATCAATTTCAGACATAGATGAAGAGGAAATTGCCGCGATTTGCCAATGTACGAGGGGTCGAACCAATCAATGGGGTTCAAATCATTACTATGGTCGTCGCCGTGTGATTCAGGACTTTTACTCATCTTTATTTCAAGACAGTGTTGGTACTGTAGTAGAAAGTGACTTCATGAATGGGGATGACAATGACCTGAGTGTTGAGCACAACTTAGCGCCACCTGATAGGCCGCGCGTGGACGATGAGCATTCCACAATGTCTAATAGAGGCCTCCCTTCCTGGACGTATGCCCCAGCCTTTAAGCCAGTTACTTTAACTGTCGACACAGTTGATCTCGATTTGTACCCTCCCTATGTGAGAGAAACGAACTCTATCCTAGATAATGTGTTTCAGCAGCGCCCTGGTTTGGCAGGAAGGCAGTCTCCAGAAGAACGATTGGGCCGAGTGGAGGCTTTCGATGCCTTTTTGCCGCTCTATTTGTTAGAGAAACTTCGTTTATACATTAAGTACTCATCTCTCGCATGCGCTTGCCCTGCTCAACGGCTGAGTTGAAAGGCATCATTATTCTTCACGAACTGGCTGCATCTTACGGTGCTTGTGTGTCTACAATAACTGCCCCAGAGAACGAACCATTCTATTTTCAAAAGGGAATCTCGGGTAAAAGGTATAATGAGGTATGGAGTGCTCTATCCGGGACGAAAATTTTAAGGGAGGCATGCGAGCAGATGGCATATCGTTGGTTAAACAAACCGACCGCCGGCAATGCCCTGATCAATGAAATGGAAGGTGAGCTGGCTGCCATTAACGGAAGGCTTGTGAATGTGGAAGGTGTCACTATCTACTCCGTTGATGACGATCACAGCCGATTAAGCTCCAAAGCAGTTGTACAATTGACAAGCCTATCTATCTCATGTGAACAACCCCGTCAAGGCCCTCGGACCTGTCAACAATGCCGCCTGCTCCGCATTAACTCATGCTTTTATTGCCTCACACTACTCACGTCCGCACGAAAAAGCAATACATGTTAGGCACAGATTGGTCCAATTGCTTCAGGGTGTACCTACAGTTGGGGCCTTGAGGCCCACGGTGGATTCCTTGTTTGATGCCGACAGGGCCTGTAACGAGGTTGAGTCAATTTCATTTCTGAATGAGACGTTAGGAGCTAGCAGCATTGGAACGCATAAGCGTTCTTTAAGTTACCCATTTGTTTTTGGGGAAGGACCTATCAGAAAGAAACATATGGGATGTTTGTGGCAGAGAAGGGTCGCAGGGCGATATACAGTGCACAAAGGACACCTTGTGGGAGCAAAGGTCGTACTATTGAAGCTTCGGTCTAGAGAGAAAGCTACTCAGGCCGTATTGCTGCAGTGTACAGCAACGACCCTGTTAGATTTTGGGCACACCAGTACTGCCTCATTCCGAAGAATAGCTTCAGGCATAGATTTGATAGTGCTGCAGTCGAAAATTTTCAACTCATCTTCGACAATAGAGTTGCT